GGGAGAAGGGAGAAAATATCATATTTTATATCTAAGTATGCCCATGAGCGGCTTGCAAAGGTTTTAAGAAAGGCATGTAGGTTTCTGGCTGGACAGGGACTGAACCAGCTGACCTCTGTCTCTCCTCATAACTCAGTCAAAAGGAAGAAAGAGAATAAAGTCAGGACAAAGTTCAGTTAAGAGAAACATTCGAGAAACCTCTGTTTGCTAGTCACAGGTGGCACCAAAAAGAGTCAATACATCAGGAACCTGGTTTTGTCCACTCTGATTTCCAAGACAATCTGCAGTATTTGGAAGGGGGAAGCCTGAGACAGAGCAAAGCAGGTCTTGAGGAGGAGCATTGTGTCTTTGACCCATTCCCCATTCCACGTGTAGGGGTCAGCATTCTCAGAGCTCCAGAGCAAGCCTGGGCAAACCAAAGAGAAGAGTTGGATCATAGTATGGTTTTCCCAGGGCAGCCGTGTTCCCTTTGACAAAGTGGGCAATGGCTGACATTAATAGAGCCAGTTTTCATGGTCTGAAAGGTACTGGGAGTGGATGGCAGGCCAGGCTGTGCTTTAAGGGGAATTCTGCCTGGTGCAGCTATTTCAATAAACAAAAAGCCATCCCTGGGTTGTTACTTCATGGGGAAAGCCTTTAAAGTGTTATACAGCATGCCAGAAAAGGAAAAGAAAACCAGATTCAATAGATTGATAAAATGTTAGGTAGCATCTCATTGTCAGCTGAGGGCCACACTAAGATTTAAGGTGTGTTTGCCAATCGGGAAGAGAAAGAACCACGCCCAGATGAAAAATGAGGGATAAGCCAGGAGTGTTCAAACACGCACTCGAAAGGAGCAGTTGGAGAACTGGGCAGAGCATGTGGGGGCAGAGCGCGCGGGGGCATATTTAGCCTTGCTAGTAGGGGAATGCATCCCCTCACACACAAAATCAGGGAGTACTCAAATACTGGCCTGGGCTGGCCACTCTGCACCCTAGTACTGCATGGTCACCACACATGGGAGTACAATCTGGTGCCCTTTTCTGCTGAGCAAGTTGGCACACACATACTCTCGGATGCAGTGATGTCCCTTCAGAGGTTTGTACTTACAAGATGATCAGAGACGTGGACAAATATATAACATGCTGCTTGTAATAGCCTACATGTAAATTAATAGCTAATCTTAGGGCAAGAAACTATGTGACCATAAAAGAATCTGATATAGTAGAAGGGAATTTTCTATTATAAACAGTAGGCTGGAAAAAATGAGGGGAGGGGGCGACACAGAAACCTAAGGAGAATGGGCACTTCCTTCACATTTAGGTAAATATTATTTATGCACCCATACATATATGTACATATTATACACCAACATACCACAGTTTGTTTGCAGGAAACTTTTCTGATTATTTCATTTTCTGTGCATTGTTAGTAAAGTACAATTTGTGAAGAGGAAATAAAACATGAGTCTAAGAGACTTTACTAAGAATCTGATTGCTAAGTATGGCGGCACTTGTCTGTAGCCCCAAGTATGTGGGATGTTTTCAAGCACCCAACTACATGGGAAGTGAAGACAAGAGAATTCCCTGTTCCCAGGGGTTCAAGAATGACTAGGTCAGTATAAAGGTTTTGTCTTAGACACACATGTGCAAATGGCAGCACTAACTGGACTTCGCTGATTATAAAAGTCAGGTGGTTGTGGTGCACACCTTTAATTCCAGAACTTGGGAGGCAGAGGCAGTTGGGTTTCCATGAGTTCGAGGCCAGCCTGGTCTACAAAGTGAGTTCAGTGTCAGCCAGGACTGTTACACAGAGAAACTCTGTCTCAAAAAACAAACAAACAAACAAACAAACAAAAACCCCCAAAACCAAAAATCCCCAAAAAAACAGAAAACAAAAAAAGGAAGAAACAAGCAAACAAATAAATAAAATAAAGATAAAGAAATGACATGACATGGGACATATTTGGAGGTTCGGGGCTAGGGCATGCTAGAGGGAAGAAATGAGGTAAGATATGATGAAGAGATACGCATGAAAAGGAAATAGAGACACAAAAATTAAGAATGTTTTGAGAATCCAAAAACAATTGTTTAAAATAAAATGCAAAGGATGGATTGGGCCTCTTGGAGTAGGCCTGTGATCCCAGCTACTCAGGAAGCTGAGGCAAGAGGATCATAAAGAAGAAGACCAGCCTTGGCAACTTAATGAGACCCTGCCTCATAATAGTAAAAGTTAATCAAGAAACCTGGAAATGGAGCTCAGTGATAGAGTGCTTACCCAGCTTATGGGAGAGCCCAGGCTTGATCCTTGATACCACAATGGATAGATTCATATATAATAATGTTGTGTATTGGTCTAAATTTTTAAAGTATTTACAGGAATTTTGAAAAAAAAAAACCACAGCTATTGATTGGTATAAAAAAGTATAGTTGAGCATAATACTGTTCTAAAAATGTAGTAGCTCCCAATCACTTCAATGTTTTCTATGTTGAAACAAAAAATCTTATTAGTTTTATTTGAACTATATGAAAACAATACAACTTTATGTTGCATTACACCTAGGGGGGGCTGATGAAAAAGCCAAGACCCAAAAGAGATTTCCCACTATCTCACGTTTAAATACATTGTAAAGTTACAGCAACTAAATCATTTTGGTGCAACTTAAGATAAGACAGGATGAACCAGAAGACCAGGAGGGATCAAGTGCCCATGCACATTTACTAGGTGATTAAAGAGACAACCACCTGGGGGATGGAGAGACAGCTCAGTGGTTAAGAGCACTGGCTGCAATTCCAGAGGACCTGCTTTTAATTCTCAGCAGCCACATGACAGCTCACAACTGCCTCTAACTCCTATTCCAGGGGATCTGGCACCCTCACACAGACATACATACACACACAAGAAAATAAATGAATCTTTTTAAAAAAGAGAGAGACATTCAACTAACAAACTAGTGAGCTTGTTTAACACTAAACAATTACTAACACTAGACAATTAACACTAAAAAAAAAGAGAGACATCTTTGCATGGGACCCCTGAGAAAGTTTCAGGTTAACCAGACTGTTAAGTGGAAAGCGTTTCTCATTTGAGCAGTAAGGCAGTCTTCTAACAGTATAAGCAAATAAATTGTTAAAAAAGTTTATAAGATTTATTTATTATATGTGTCTGAGTGTTTTGTCTGCACACTGTATACACAACGTATGCATGCCTAACGCCCAGGGAGCTCTGAAGAGAGTGCTGGATCCCCTGGAACTGGAGTTAAGTATGGCTGTGAGCCACCACCTGGGTGCTGAGGAGTGAACCTGGATCCTCTGCAAGAGCAGCAAGTGCTTTTAACTGAGCCATCTCTCCAAAGTTACCCAAATTTGGATCTTAAAAGCAAACTTTGGTAGACTTAACCCAAAGAAGGCTTGAACCATTTGTTCAATGACATTGTAATAAGCAGGTAAAATACAAGCCGCAAAATACATTTGCTGCAGATACAAGAAGGGTTCCCGACTTCACTACAAAAAGAGTGTATACAAATCACTAAGAAGAAACAAATATTCCTGTAATAGCAAAAAGGCAAAAGCTATGACCAGGCTGAAAAAAAAAAAAGACAAATGCCCAGTAGCTACATATTAGTTACATACATAAAATATAGTAGCTAATATTCCTCCTCAAAAATTATAAAATTTAACTTTCTAGAACAATGCCTCTAGTTATCTATCAAGTTAGCAAAATGTTTTTTTTAATCGTCTATTTGTGTGCACACGACAGATGAATGCAGATTTATAGAGCTCTCCAATGGAGGAGGTGACAACGTGGACTGAGAAGTTTAAAAAGTTCATACGGTTTACTAAATAAGGAACTGAAGAAGCCCTCCAAAAGAAGCACTCAAGGAGAGCCTCCCAAATTCCTTATTTAAAAGACATGGATGTGTGCTGCCTACACTTTAGTTCAAAACACTCAGCGGTCCTGAGGCTGGAGAGATGACTCAGGGGTCAGAGCACTGTCGGACAGACGACATGAATTCCCTTACCAGCATCCACATGGCACATGGCAGCTTACAACCAACTGCTTGTAACTCAGGGGACCCAATTTCCTCTTTAGACATCCATGGTCCTGCCTCAGGCTAGTATGAACTAGTGTGCATTTGGTCACATGCAATGGCTGAAGGATGCAGGCTGCAAAACTCTAGGCTAGCAAGTTTGTTGAAATAATATATAAATATAGATTTGGGACAATATTTAACTGTATACCAACTGGAATTTTAAGGATGAAGAGATTATTGGGGTTTCCCGCTCCTTTATGTTTCATTTATTCCACAAACATTGACTTGCTGGATTGCCTTAATTATTTTTTCTGTGTTCCAAATTATGCTCAGCCATGTGTTACTGTGAAGTTAGGAAAAAGACACGTTTTTATAAGGGTCTACCAGGTGGAACTGACTTTTGCCAGTTGCTAAACATTTATCTACTAAAGACCTGTAAGCATAAAGTCTTGGTGGTCAATGGCAGTCATCTCAGCGCTTGGGAGATGAAGGCAGGAGGATCAGAACTCGACCCACTCTGCTATGTAGTAAGTGGAGGCCAGTGTGGGAAACAGGAGAGCCTGTCACAAACAAATAAACAAAGCAAAGGCTGGGAGGGAAGTTACTGTGTGCTCTTTCTACACCGTGAAAAAGATTCAGGGCTGTCCTCGTTTTGCTGCCTGCCCCTCTTCAGTGTTTTGGGGAAACCATACCTGTTCGGGCTCGAATACACACAAGTGTGGATGTGAGAGGGAGATTAGGGGGTCCCTTCTTCTCAGGATCCGTCAAAGGGATCCTTTGAGAAGCCTGACACCTCACTAAGTATTTTAAACTAGTAATCCCTAGGCACCCCCACAAGGACAGCAGGAGAATGGTCCTGTTTATGAGGCTGGAGAAGCTTGCCTCCGGCATGTTGAGCCTTGCTGGGGCTGAACCGCACCTGAGAAGAGGATGGCAGTTTGGGGCGGGAGGAACCTGGTGCGCTGGCCTGGGGGGTCGGGGGTCTTACCGCAGCTTGTTGGAAGGCTCCCTTGGTGTAGGTGCCACCACCGCGGTAGGTGATGGCCGGGATCTCGCGGCTGAGCAGCGCGCACTTGTGCTGGTGTGCCCGGCTGGTGGAGATGTAATCCACGCGCGCCACCACGTTGTTTTTGGACGAGAAGGTGACGATGGCCACGCGCGTGGCCGTGGACACCACGGGAAAGTCGGACAGCAGCTTGCGCACGAACTTGAGCTCGTTGAGGAAGTTGGTTTGGCCCACGCTGGACGACTCGTCCACCAAGAAGACGAGCTCCAGGCGGCCACTGAGCTCCCGCAGGCGCCGCACGCGGCTCCGGAACGCGCGGCCCAGACGCTCCACTTTGCTCCCCATCGCCTCCTCCTCGCCGGACGCGGGTGACAGGGTCAGTCTGCCCGGAGCCCCAGGCGAGGCCTCGGGGAACAGGCGGAAGCTGAAGTTGCGCGACGGAGCCAGGGGCTGGAAGTTGGTCCAGCCGGACACCAGTGTCAGAGATGAGCAACAGAAGGCCAGGCACCACCACATCGCGCTGGGGACCAAGCAGCGGCCCCAGGGAGTGCAAGGCGACAGTCCCTGAGAGTGCCAGAGAAGAGCCTGGCGGCCGGAGCTGCGCAGACGGGACCGGGATAGCGGCCGCGAGACTCAGAGCCCTTGCATGTGACACTGGGGACGGGATCCAGACTTCTCTGGCAGCTCGGGGGACGGACGGGACTCTGGAGGGACTGGAGTGCTCTGCTCCTTTGGCTCTCGGCTACTTCGTTTCTCTCCTCCCCTCTCTCTCCCGAAGCCTATAAAACGTTTGAAGGAAGGGGGCAGTGAAGCCAGAGTCACTTCCCTCCTTTTCGTCTGTCCTCTCTTTCCTCTCCCTCTCCTTCTCTCCTCTCCTCTCCCTATCTCTCTCCTATCTCTCCCCCCCCCCTTCCCTGGGATCCAGCTAAAGACTCTTGGAGATTCCATGACACCAGAACCCCTCGCCTGTCACGCTGTCAACATTCCCTCACAAGCGCACTGATTGATCCCATATGTCTGGCAAGGAGCTGCGGAGGAATTCGCTGGAGATGGATCTGGATACCGAGAGTGCCACAGTAATTGGAAACATTGTAGAGAGAAACACGCGGGGGGCTGGCCGGGTTGAAAGCGTGCCTTGAAAACTGCTTGCTCACCTTTTGGGCTTCTTTTCCACTCTAGGGGGTGGGTGGGGAGTGTCTAAGCCGCCCAAAGGGGATATTTGCATAATTCCCCAAAGGGCACAAACTCCTGAGAACCAGTTCAAATCCTGGGCTATCACAAATAACGTGGCGCCCACCCTGCGCATCACAAATGCAGAATTCCTGCACTCCTTTCCTGCATCTGATAATTCATGCATTTGTTGGTTCTTTCCTTCCTGTAGCAGTTTGTGATGTTTGATAGGTACCAAGAGGATGAGCAGGGGGAAAAACCGACGCGAACTCTGTCCTCTAGGAACTTGTAACAAGTAAAAGTGTCACCATCACCACCACCAACTCGACATCCACACATGAAATGTATATGCATGATTACATACTTTTCTGTGCATGCACATAGATACACATATACTTTGTGTAATTACAACTGGCCGTGGTTAAATATAAGAGCTTGGGAAGACAGATTTGATCTTGGCAAGGACAGGCAAGCCTTCCATGAGGGTGTGAAATTCATGGCGAATTCTTAACTATGAATTTTCTTAAAAGCCCTCTATTTTGATCTGATTCAGCAAATGGGATCTGTCTGGCATACATACCCTTGGGAATACCAGCTGTTACTTGGGATGATTTTTCCAAGTAAGCCCTCAAAGTACATGCATAAGGCACATACTTATTACATGAAAGGTGGGACCCTTGGTTAAAAGATTTCAGCTAAAAATCAGGAACCCTGTGTGGTTATATAAACCTCCATCACCTCTGGGTTTTGGCCCAGTGCCTACTTTTATTCTGCAATGGGATCAAATGACTCCGGAGTTCTCCTGGTCTCTGACAGGAGTGACTGGACTCCAACTCTCCTTAATCAACACGGGAGGTGTCAGAGCATGGAAGCCAAGGTGTTAGGGCTCTTGGATCAATTTCCCTGACATGAAATCCTGGCTTACTATTGATTGATTGTATCGCTTTGCCCATTTGGAAACTGGAGTAATAATAACATATTAAGGACTAAATCATAAAATCGTAAAACTTTTAGGAATATGTTCAGAACACAGCATGTACTCAGTAAATGCTGACCACTCACACCACTGCCTTTATTCAAGAATGCTCTCCAACAGAGACAGAGACCCACATTGGAGCACCGGACTGAAATCTCAAGGTCCAAATCAGGAGCAGAAGGAGAGCGAGCACAAGCAAGGAACTCAGGACCGCGAGGGCTGCACCCATACACTGAGACAATGGGGATGTTCTACCAGGAACTCACCAAGGCCAGCTGGCCTGGGTCTGAAAAAGCCTGGGTCAAAACTGGACCCGCTGAAAATAGCGAACAATGAGGACTACTGAGAACTCAAGAACAATGGCAATGGGTTTTTGATCCTACTCCACGTACTGGCTTTGTGGGAGCCTAGGCAGTTTGGATGCTCACCTTACTAGACCCGGATCGAGGTGGATGGTCCTTGGACTTCCCACAGGGCAGAGAACCCTGATTGCTTTTTGAGCTGACGAGGGAGGGGGACTTGATTGGGGGGGGGGGAGAGAAAGGGGAGGTGGCGGTGGGGAAGAGACAGAAATCTTTAATAAATAAATAAATTAATTTAAAAAAAAAAGAATGCTCTCCAAGACCCATGTCCAGAAGCTCTCGCTGACCGTCAAGAATGTACCAGCTTACGAAATCCTGAACTAAAAAGGGAGTGGGACTCTATCCTAGTCCTCCCAGTCAGACTACATCAGAAGAAAATGCAGATTTGAAAAATCGTTCCGGAGTTGTTCTGTGTTTACAAGAGGGACAAGGAGCGGGATGAAGAAAGATCTGGATCTTCTGAGAGGGGATAAGATCTCAATCAATTTAGAACTCTTTTAAAAAGAGAGTTTTTCCAGATTTCATCTATACCATGTTATTTAAAACACATCACTAAGAGCTGGCATTCTGGGTCCATGGCGACTGCTGCCTGCACTATCTTGTGTGTCCTTTACCCCCACCTTCAACAAAACCCCAGGGAGGTAGAGAGTTGCTTTAAGACCTTCTAGTTGCAAGCAATGAGCATCCAGCTCCTTCTTGTTTAAACAAAAGGAACTTTTGGCTCAAGCACATAAGCTGGGGAAAGGCCTGGGTGGTGAAGCCCGGCTCAGAAAGCCTTGGAAAATGAGGCAGAGTAGAGCCTTCCTGAATATAATAATCCCAGTACTTGAGAAGCTGAGGCAATTGGTTGAGAGTTCTAAATCGCAGGTGAGATCCTGCCACACACACAAACAAAAGAGCATGTGTGGGTGTTAGGGGGCTGGGGAAATGGCTGTGTAAGATCCCCGGCAGGCAAGCCTGAGATACCCAGTTCAGAATCACAGAATCCATGTAAAAAATGGTGCACAGTGATGTGCGGTTGCAATCAGAGGCAGGCAGATCCCAGGAACTCCTTGGCTGGCTAGTCTAGCTGAATTGGTGAGCTCAAGGCTCAGTAGAGACCCTAACTCACAGAATATGGCGGTGAGTGATTGAGGAAGACACCTGACATCAGACTCTAGCCTACACACACACACACACACACACATACACACACACACACACACACGCACGCACATGCAAGCACACACACACACACACACACTTAGAACCACTTCTGCATCTCTTTTTAAAAATATTTATTTATTTACTTTACATTCTGACCACAGTTTCCCCTCCCTCCTCTTCCCCCATTTCTTCCTCCCCTACCTCTCTCCTGTCCCCCAATCTGCTTCTCTTTACATGCTATACCCTTAGTCTCTTTTTTAATTTCAGATGAGATGAGAAAGATTCTTGCCTATGAGCTCCAATTTTGCAAAACCTACCAATACCATCACCTAAAGAAATGAATGGAATGAGATGGCTTTAATTCAGCTTCATGAGAGCAAGGACAGGCCCCAGGAGCATCCTGAGCTCATACACTTACAGGAGTTAATTGTCACCTTAGTCTCTTACATCCAGACCTTCCTCTTTAAGAGTAACTGAGTCCCCAAATTTCAGCAGAGCACAAAGACATCCACATTTCCTAGCCGTCTCTTGCAGTTGGATATGTCTGTACAACCAGATTCTGAGTTGGTTTCATGCACAGCTCCCAGAAATTCTCTTAAAAAACGAACAAAGAAAAAACAACAGCAACTTTTATCTGTGACTCTTCCACACTGAGCTCGTTTTCTCGGTAGAGCCTATAGGACTGGAAGGAGATGGCCATGGAGAGTGTGTTTTGGAGGGGCTGAATCTGACCCTCTCTGTTTCTTGTCCATCTGTTCCCTCCTCTGGGGTGCTCTGTTCAACACATGCAGCCAAGTCACCACAGGCTAACACCACGAACAATCAATCTATCATCCATCTCAACACATGTGTTGTGTCGAGTCAGAGAGAAACGCTGGCCTATACAAGAGCACAATGATAGGCTCAGGAAATGATAAAATATTAATACCACGTAGAAGAAGAACCTAAACGACTTGGCAGTATGGAGCTGAGCTGAGGGAAACTGCTGAGGCTTCATCTTGTGAAATAGATTCTCTAGGAAACAAAAATCAATTGCATCAGCGGGCGGGAGACCGAAGGGGCACGCTAGTCTCTCCTGCATCCTGCTTCAAAATCAGCAGAAAAAAAAATAGCAGAAAATGGAAACCTCAGGTCCTGTGTACCTACTGGGACCAGTTCCCAAAGCAAGGCCAGCACCTTTGCCATCTGCCCCTGTGCCAAAGCAAAGTAAGATACTGCGTTTGTGTGGAGGGGAGATTGGAGGAGGGACCGGAGGCAGCAGAGGATGGACTGGTCCAGGGAAAGACCCTCTGGAATGGCAAGAACACGTCTAGAAATGGGAGCAGAGGCAGGACAAAGTTCAGTCCCAGTTCCTGCTGGAAATTAGGTTCTGTCTGCTTCGAAATTTACAAGCTTGCTGCTTGCTGAATGGCAGCAGCAGGCAGTGGTGATGGGAGGAAGATGCCCTCTTGTGACTTGTAAGGATTTAACAGACATTTCCTGTCATACTTAGGAAAGTACACTACTCTATACTTCATGTAGGTAGAATTGCCTAGGGATGGAGTTTACAGTAGAAAGACCCTGGTATTGAGACACTGAGAACAATGAAATAGAAAATAAAATAAAATTTAATATAAAATAAAATGTAAATTAATACTGATAATCTGATGGTAGTATTTATTGTAGACAAAACATCTGATAATGCCTATCACTGAATTTCATTTTACTTACCATGTATGTTTGCAAATCAATATACTGTTTGTCTCTTTTTATATTATAGTTCTTTCTGCTTTAAATGCAAAGAAATAGAGTCATATAAGGCAACAGATACACTTGAGGACATAAATGGATTTTTGTACATCATGTCAATACATGGCAAGTGGCAAGGTGTTGCTTCTGCTTTTGGCTTTTGAGACAAAAATCTCACTCAGCAATTTAAACTTACCCAGAATTCACTGCATATCCCAGGCTGGCCTGGAACTCACAGCAATCCTCCTGCTTCAGCCACCTAAGTACCTGGTTATACGTGCGAGCTGCATCTTGGTATGTGCCCTTCTCATTACAGATGGCTGTGAACAGCACAGACGAAGATGTAATGCAGGCTGGGAGCTGTGTACAGAAACTCAGACTGCCAGCCAAGAGCAAGCTGCTTCCTGTTTGCACCTTTCAGTCCACAGGTTTACCTCAGACCTTGCCCTAATGGGCCGGTACCCAAAAGGCTATTGGCTGAATGAGTTCCCACAGCAGGCAGCACGAAGGCGGGGTTGGCCGACTACCGTCATTGCCGCTCCCTGCATTTGCATCTACCCTGCACTTCCCCAGGTAAGGAACTCTCTGCTCTCTGCTGAATCAAACTGAGCCTTGGCAATCCCTATAGAGAGTAATCAAGAGACTTACTTCACACCTGATCAGTATGCAGTCTTCACACAGCCATACCAGCCAACTCACTTTTGAAAATTATCAC